TCAAGAATTTGAGGGATTTTTGACGGAGTGAGTTTCAGATTTGAATTTTGAGTACGAAGATGGCATTTTGAAGGTCAAGTTATGTGTCGCAGATGAAAGAACATCTCTCAGACTATCTAGAGGAATTTGTTAGAAGTTTGTAGGATCTAGGATAGTGGAGATAGGAAGGAAGAAAGAAAGGCCTTAAAATGGACAAGAAATGCACAAAATGGCGCCTGGACGGTTATGCATAAATATTTTCGAAAATCGAAGAATGTAGTGACTTTGGTGAGATGTTAGAGACTATGCCTATGAAATTTGAAAGGAAAAGGACATGAGAAAAGTACCTAACTAGGAATAACAAACACTACGTGCAAAACGAATAGGATTTCTGGACGATAAGGAGAATATTAATGGGGCAGAATGTGAACGAAAACAAGGCAATGACGAAGGTCGTCATTGCAATTAGACTCATACACTTACTTAGATCTATGACCTCACTACTTAGACCATGGACCCATGCTTAGATGCGCTTACTTCATACGTGACGATGATAATCTAATTGGTGTTGGGTTTCACATTTACACAGTAGACTTTACAAAGAAGGGGATGGTGTAAATATCAGAAGGCGGAACTTGTGTTGGTTCGTATAACGCCATATTTCGTGGCGTTATTGCTGGGTTGTATAAGTTATGTGAATGTAGTGTGTTTTGCATCATCAATCAGCATTAATGGTTTCGTAAACCAAATCAAATAAAAACAAATCAAATCGAATCAAATCAAAGCAACGCCACTTGATTGCTGTCAATCATATATGACAAATTACTCTTTTGATACCGTATATTTAATCTGGTTTTCCTTAAAACTTCACTGATCCACATTTCATCCTTATTTCCTCGCTTCTATTAAAATCAAATCAGCAAATCATCAGGTTGTAGGTCCCTTTTAACAGTTAGTGTTGCCCTCATATACGCACTCCAGAAAGCCGAGCTTGTACTTCATCATTTCATCAAAGGCTCCGGTGTTTCCGAAATGTAACCTGGTGGCCGGAAGACGGTCTACATCAGTGAGATAGCCACCATCCGTTAACCACTTGTCAGAAGAACGGTAACAATTGCAGAGTGCAACTTCGCTGTAAAAGCAAGCTGAACAAGCAAATAAATAAAACTGATAACAAACATGATATATAAATGCATGCTTTAGTTTCATTATAAATGTGGTTGAGTGTTTACCTTTGCCAGATCCAAAGAATTGTTTTCGTCAATAATACAAGATAAAATATAATGCATAACAGAAGTAGAGAACAAAACATATTCGGGCGAACACGATAGTTTACCCCCCCCCCCCTCCCGCAAAATTTAATAAAAGAAGTAGAAAACAGCCCCCCTCCCTCCCGGCAAAACTATGGATGTATGCCTATTTGGGTAAGTTAATAAAACAAATATAGAATAGCCCCTAATCTCCGGCATAATGTGGCCGTACACCCATTGTCTAAGATATGAAGTAGAGAACAGAATATCAATATTCGGGCATAACGCAACCCCCCCCCCCCCACCCTCGGCAGAAATGTGCCCTTACGCCCATAAATCTGTGGAAGGGGAATAGGGATGATGAGAAGTTGGTTTAAAGTGGGCACTAAACGTAAACTTTCTTCATCATCATCATCGAGAACAAAATAAGTCTTTCGTCTTTTGTGTGCATGGCTGATCGTCAACGAAACGGAGTTAAGTCTTTTTTCAATTTATTTCTGTTGCTACCGCAGGCAGCCAGTAAAAATGCGTTTAATTATGGAAATACAAGCATTACTTTAAACAAACAGTTATTCCTGGCTCATTTTTCCTGATTGAGGTGTCATATGAAAGGGCATAAAATGAACATCTAGAAAATGTGATTTTCTCTTTGAAATTCAGATACTGTCCGTCAAATGACTTTTTGGTATCCTTTCTTAAAATTGATTTTAATCACTCATGCGTAAAATATCCATCATGTGAGTTGCATCAAATGAAAGAAGAGGATCGAAGCTTTCCAAACATGTGTCATTTATTAGTTATAATCGTGATTAAGTTATGATGAAACATCGTTAATTATCGGTTTCGTTTTTTTCTGGGACGCACTGTATATAATAATTAAAACAATTTGAAAAATCCTCGAGAGTTCACTTCTTCACTATGAAGAAGTGAAATCTTAAGGATTTTTATTTCATTTAAAAAAAAAAAATCATTATTTGTTATTGCCGTGATATTTCATTCCATTTTATTGATTTATATAACCACGCTGAAAACTCACTTCAGCTAGACGGCTGTAGTAGGAAGTACTTCTAATTGGACGTCATGTTGAACCAAACAAGTATATTTAGGCCTATATATGGATTCTTACAGCACGTTTCTGGGCATGTGGCATAAATTATCTCACAGATGTGAACGTACATTTTGGTTTAATGAGGATGCTTAATGAAGGTGTTATGATTGAGAAGAATGCGAATGATATGATGTTTTATGAAATCTTTGTTTGAGTTTTGCGATACATGCGGGCATGAGAATGAACGGGAGATTGAGACCCGTATATGAGTCGCGCTGGAGAACCTTGGCGTGCCGTTCGTTTAAAGGGGAATTCCAACCTGATTATAAAAATTGGTTTTAATAGATGCAGAACAATTAGAGAAACAATTCAGTGAAAGTGTAAGGAAAATCATAGAACTACACTGTAATAAAAGAATTTGTTCATTGGTAATTTTTACGTATTTTTTCCATGTAGAATTTACTTGAAAACATTAGTTTTGCCACTTACGCATTAAATTTAAGTCTTGCTAACTCAAACTTTCAATTTAGTAGAACATAAGTGAAATATTTAAGTAAAATCAAATACATAAGAACTTTAAGTAATTTCAGCTTGTATTAATTTAGTAATTTTAACTCAAAATCAGAAATTATACGTATTACTCAAACAATTTATGTTGATTATTCTTATCTTTTTAAATTAAGGACCGATGCAGTGCGTAATAGAAATATTTACATAATTTATGAATATTCATTAAGACCAAATTAAACTCTTTTTTAAATAAAACAATTCTTTTTTGTGGTTGAATGAAAATTTAAGGACTTTAAAACATTTACTAATTCATGGCTAACATGCTTAACATGGCTAAGCAAAGACAAGACAATTTTTAATTGTTACCCAGTTCAAAACAAATCAAAACTTGATATTTCAGGAAATTGTCAACCAATTTTCCTTTTAAGATGCTACGATCAAGTATATATAAAATTTGGAGCCTTTCAATATGTGTCGAATTGAAGCGTATGTAATAGTTTGTGATGGTGGTAGATATATATATATATATACGGTTAAATCTTAAATAGAAGTAGTGAATGATTAGTGGATGTTACTTGTTAGATTAGATGGGTACCAAATCGTGCAATATGTAATCCTATCATAGCTTTTTTTTAATTATCTAAAATGATTACAATACTTAAATTATTTACGTTAATGTAACTCGATTTAACTGAGTAAAAATTTATTCAGCAAAATAAGTAAATTCTACTTAAGATGCCGTAGGTAATATTTACTTGATAAAAATAAGGCAATTCTTTTCCTCAAATTTATTGAGTTATTTCGACTATTATTTTTTTACAGTGTACACTGTTGGTCATAATGGTGAAATCATTATTTTTACCCCAATTTATTGAATGATTCTGACAATGATTTATTCCTAACAGATCTAGATAATAGTATACATTCTCAGATTTTATTGAGTGACAATTGGGGAGTGTTTGTTTTTCGTGACTGCTAAAGCATGTGTGTGCTACTATGGTATTCAACTAGGGGACCTGCGTCATTAAGCCATAACTGACAGTAATGGGGATTCATGCCCCGTAAAAGGGCACTAATACAGTGCGTCCCAGAAAAAACGAAACCGAGAATGATCGATGTGGTTGAATGAAAATTTAAGAACACTTCAGGACTTCAAACTCCTAAAACTACCCCGAAAAGGAAAGAGAGGTGGTGGTCTCTGTGTAATTTTGCGAAATTCCTTCTCTCCAAAAATGAAGCCACATGTGTTTGACACATTTGAATGCCTTGAGGTAACTCTACGCTCTGGGCAGTCCAATAATCAAAGAAGCCTTTCACTCTTTGTAATCTATAGACCTCCATCATGCTCGCGGGGCCAGTCATTTGGACGTTTCCTGGTGGAGTTCTCAGAACTACTAGAATCGGTCAACTTGCTCATAAATCAGGTGGTTATTTTAGGGGATTTCAACATTCACGTTGACAATGAAACAAATGCAGATACAAATAACTTTAAAGATCTACTGGAGTCGGCTGGTTTGAGTCAGCTCATATCCCAGCCTACTCATATTAAAGGACACACTCTTGACCTGGTCATCATGAGAGAAACTGATCAGTCAATCAGGGACATTGTGGTAACTCAGACTTTGCCATCTGATCACTCGGCGATCATCTTTTCACTCCCCTTCATGAGACCACCAATAACGACTAAAATCGTTCATGCTCGTAAGTTACGTGAACTCGATATTGATCAATTCAAGTTGGATATCACCCAGTCCTTTGAAGCAGTTACTAACCTGGAAGAAATGGACATTGACCAGAAGGTAGATGTTTTCAATAACTCTCTTGCGTCAAATCTTGATCGTCACGCACCAGTCAAGCAAAGGAAAGTGAAACTGCGTCCCTATGCTCCTTGGTACAACCATGAAATCCGGAAGGCTAAACAAGCTCTTCGTGCAAGGGAAAGGCGGTGGAAAAAGACCAGGTGCTCATCTATAACAGTAGTATCTGACGACCTGAAGAAAGCAACGAGAGAATATAACCAGCTAGTCAATAGCTTTAGGAGTCAGCATCTCCACGAACTTATATCCACTAGCAACAGCAAACAACTGTTTAATGTGATTGACAGGATGACAGCTGAAAAGCCTCCTAAATCACTGCCCTCACATCAGTCCAGTGCTGAAACCACTCAGAAGTTCTCAAAGTTTTTTGACAATAAAATTCATCTATTAAGATCTTCATTTTCTTCGTCTTCCAACATCGCTGAAGTAGAAGTCAGTGACCATCGTCTTGATAAGTTTGCGCCAGTTTCCCAAGCAGATGTACTGAAGATCATCAAGTCACATAAAATGAAATCATGTGACTTAGATCCCCTACCAGCACCCATTCTTAGTCAATTTATAGAGCTTCTGGTTCCGGCCATCACGGACATAACCAACGACTCGCTAGAATGTGGAGTTTTCCCCTCAGCACTCAAGTCTGCTTTGATTCATCCCACCCTCAAACGACCATCTTTGGATGCAGAAAATTTGAGAAACTTTAAACCAATCTCAAATTTGCCATTTTTGGGCAAGGTAGTAGAACGAGTAGTCTCAAATCAATTTACTGAATACCTTAATGCAAATTCCCTTCTCGCATCCCGACAGTCTGCCTATCGTAAAAATCACAGCGTGGAAACTGCGTTACTTCGAGTCCAAGACGATATACTTCGTGCTTTGGATACTGGAGATGATGCAATTCTCATACTGTTAGACTTAACATCAGCTTTCGACACGGTCGATCACCGTGTTCTTATATCCAGGTTGGAAACACGTTTTGGCGTCTCTGGAACTGCTACCAAGTGGTTTAAATCTTACATCACTGGACGATACCAACAAGTGATCATCGATGGCTCACGATCCGATCCTACTCTGCTTAGGTGGGGGGTGCCACAAGGCTCCGTCGTCGGCCCTGTACTTTTTACATGTTATTCGACACCCTTAGAGGACATCATTCATTCCCACGGTTTCTCCTCGATGATATATGCCGACGACACCCAACTATATATTACTGTTAAGTCTGGACAAATTCTTCAAATGTTGCAGAAACTGGAAGATTGTCTACATGCCATTCGCTCCTGGTTGACTGAAAACTTTCTTCTCTTGAACGACAACAAGATGGAAGTGCTCCACCTGTTTTCTCACCGAAGAAGAAATACAATAGAACTCCCTCCGATTCAAATAACAAATGGTTCTGTAAATTCCTCCAAAACAGTTGTTAACTTAGGTGTCACGTTTGATCAAAACCTTTCAATGCGCCCCATGTAAATAGTATCTGTCGTAAAGCATCCTTCGCCCTGAGAAAAATTCGTAAATTCCTTTCCAAGTCATCCACTGAAATCCTCGTCCACGCATTTATTAGTTCACTCCTTGACAGTTGAAATAGCTTGCTCCATGGAATTCCGGAAAAAGATATGGCCAAGCTGCAAAGAATCCAGAACTCTGCAGCACGTCTAGTGTCTCTCACCAAAAAACATGACCATATTACACCAACCCTTAAACAATTGCATTGGCTCCCCATTCAATTTCGCGTCCAGTTCAAAGTTCTTCTTTTAACCTTCAAGTCTCTTCATGGTCATGCCCCAAATTATCTTTCTGAACTGATTCAATTATACACACCCAATAGGCCCCTTCGTTCTGCAAATCAAACTCTCTTGACCGTTAAAAAAGCAAAAACAAAATACTTTGGTGATAGGTCCTTTTCATGCTCTGCTCCACGTCTGTGGAATTCTCTCCCAGCCTCCATTCGTTCCATCTCTGATATTACTTTGTTTAGATCAAAATTAAAAACCTACCTAATGGAAAATGCATATGCAACCTAGCTCTTAAATTGTTACCTAGTTACCTAGTTCTTATATTGTTACCTTACCTTGTTATCTTATGTTTCATAATTTCACTTTATATTTGTTTTCTTGTCATTACTCTGTTTAGTTTTAATTGTATCAATATTGTAAAGCGCTTTGATATAAATGTTTTATGAAAAGCGCTATATAAGTAAAAGTTATTATTATTATTATTATTATGTTTCATTATAACTCAGTCACATTTATAATTAGTACATGACACATGTTTGGAAAGCTTAGATCATCCTCTTTCATTTGATGCAACTCATATGATGCATATTTCACGCATGAGAGATTAAAATCAATTTGAAGAGAGGAAACCAAAAATTCATTTGGCGGACGGTATCTGAATTTTAAAGAGAAAATCACATTTCTAGAAAGGTGAGATCTTGCCCTTGCATATTCGTTTGGTTGTTTGTATGAATATAATTATGTGTTTCTATTGTACTTTATTTTACTGTCTTGTTTTTTGTATTGCCCGTTTAATACTGTTGGTGGAAAGCCTATTTCTACAATTGTGGAAAGGAATGAAAAAACAAACATTATGCAGTACTATTATTCATTCTTATCATTCATTATTATTACTAAGAGGACACTTTTTTTTTTTTGGGGGGGGGGGTCTCGAAATTTGAAAATTTGACATTTTGCTCCGTTGGGGGGGGGTGGGGTTAAGGTCAGCTTTTTTAGGTCAGCCATGGGATTTTTTTTTTTTTTTTTAAATAAAAAAAAAAAAATAAAAAAAAAAAAACCAAAGGGGGGGGGGGGGTTTTAGGGGGGTTATGGGGGGGGGGGGGGGGTTACACATAAACAAAATACCAAAGGGGGGGTTTAACCCCCAACCCCCCCCCCCCCTCCCCCCTGCGTACGCGCCTGACATCAATTATAAATGCAAGCGAGTGTAGTGAGTAATCTTTGGAGAAATTCGAGAAAAGGTTACTCTTAGTAATGTTGCTTTTATGGAGAGAGGAAAAGCTATAGGGGCACTTATCAGAAAGGAAAAGAAACTTAAGAAGAAAAAAAGGAAAACGTGTCAAAGTAAAAAAAAAAAAGAGAGAAAAAGAAGAGGTACTTATCAGATTTGGTAAGAGGCACTTCCCGTACCTGAAAATGGGCACTCACCAAAGAAAAAGGGCACCTTCGATTAATGTAAAAAGGGGTATTTGTCGATGGAAATTTGACGCCTATCAGATGTTATCATTTATCAGAGGTGAAAAGGGTTATTTAGGAGGATGGGAAGGAGCAGGGGCTCTTATTAAAAACGAAAAAAGGGACAGTTATCAAAAAGAAAATAGCACCTTTTAGAGATGAAAAGGAATACTTTTCAATTTAAAAAGGGCACCTCTCACATTTGAATAGGGGCAAATATCAGAGATGGTAAGGGGCACTCCACATTAAAAATAATCTCTCTTGCTCTCTTTCTCGAGTGCCCTCTGTGAGGTGAAACGTCGATTCTAAATGTATTTATCTAGTGTTCGAGTTTATTTGGAAATGATTAACGTGAAAAAAAAAAAAAAAATCATTTTTATGTACTTGCAGAATATTGTTACACCGTCAAATGAACACGACACACGTAGGGCGTGCATGCTTTTTTTGTAATATTATTAAGCAAATATTGTGCTACAAAAGCTGAAGTAATATTTGCAGAAGCCGATGTGTAAATGACAGATGTAATTATAGCTTAAGATAATATTTGATCGACTTCAGTCTATATGACGCATTCATGTACTTTTCCATGCAGCCCAGTGGCGTACCTGGGGTACTCCGTCAGGGGGGGGGGCAAGCGACCGAAACAAACAAAAAAGGCGATGCTAATTTTCACTTCTGGCGAGCGAGCGAGCAAAAAAAAATCTTTAAGTAACGTTTGGTATATAAACTGGTATTGTTGCAAGTTGGGGGTGGGAACATTCACTTGTTAACGACGGTAATTCCATTTTTTTGCAAAGGAGCGTAGCGAGCAAGAAAAAAATCACTTCTTTTTTAATAATTGCCACTTAAACTTGGTTCAATTGTCCCATGCAGGGCGCGGGAACAATATTGTGTTTAGGGTGATTTTATACCCATTTTAGCTAGCGAGCCAAAATACATCTTTCTCTCAATGAATTGCTATATAAAATTTGTTTCATTGTTGCAGGTCGGGGGCGGGCACAATCGTGTTTAAGGCAATGTCAATCCCATTTTGGCGGGCAGGCAACCCCCTACATTTCTCTTTTTAATGATATTGTAGCAGGTTAGTGGTGGGCACATAATTCCACGAGCTCGCGAGCGTAGCGAGCGAGCGAAAAAAAATCACTTCTCTTTTAAAGGGAAAATATGGTACATAAAACTTGGGTTCATTGTTCCATGTCAGGGAAGTGATTATTAAAAGCGGTGTTATTTCTATTTTGGCGAGCGAGCGTAGCGAGCGAGCAAAAAAATCACTTCTCTTTTATAGGGAAAATATTGTACATAAACTTGGGTTCATTGTTCCATGTCAGGGACGTGATTATTAAAAGCGGTGTTATTTCTATTTTGGCGAGCGAGCGTAGCGAGCGAGCAAAATTTTTGTAATGATAATTGGTTCAGAAATTTCAGATTTTTTTGTTGCAGGGCAGGGCTTACACAATCATGTCTAACTTGATGTTAATTCCGTTTTGGCGAGCACGAGCACACCAAAACTTCTTTGAATAACGTTTGGTACATAATTATTAACTGGTTGTTGCAGGTTGGGGCGGGCACGTTAGCGGTGTCAATTCCATTTTGGCGAGCGAGCATAGCGAGCAAGCAAAAAAAAAATTCTCTTTTAATAGAAATTAATAAATAAACTTGTTTTTATTGGTGCAGGTCAGGATGGACGCAATCGCGTTTTACGCGATTCAATTCCTTTTTGGCGAGAGGGCGAAAAAACTCTTCCATTTTTAATGATATTGTTGCAGGTCAAGGGTGGGCACAATTATTTCCAAAGCAATATCCATTCATTTTATTCGAGAGCAAGTGTAGCGAGCGAGAAAAATGAATTACTTTCTTTTAGTAACATTTGGTACATACACTGTGTGTTATTGTTGCCATGGTTGCAGGTCGGGGCCAGTCGGGGCAGGCACAACTGTATTCTAGGCAATGCTAATCCTTTTCTTTTTTCAGGGGGACGAGCAAGTGAAAACATTTAATACAAAATAGGCTAGCAAGCAGTTCGCGCCAGCGAAGAGTTTCGAATTTGTTATATCACTTATATTTTCCTATTTTCATTTGTCTTAATTTTTCAGGGCCGTATGCGGAATATTTTTCTGGTGGGGGAGGGGGAAAGATGCGTTAAAAGTTTTCGAAGAATCTCAAAAGCAAAAGGAGTGAAGGGAGTTCGAGCGACCGAACTGGTCATGAGGGTACTTTTGCATTTTCAAAAGTAGAATTGAAGGATTTGGTATAGGCCTACACTACATTTTCAGGAAAAAAACTGTACGTTTTCAAAATATCTGGGGTCAACTGCCCCCCCCCCTGGTGCGTACGGCCATGGTCTTTTTTTTTTAATTTCCCCATTTTTTTCCTTTCCTTTTCTTTTCCCTTTTTCTTCCTTTTCTCTTCTTCTTCCTTTTTTCTTTCCTTTTTCTTTTTTTCCTTTTTTTCTTCCCTTTTCTTTTTTTCTTTTTCTTTCCTTTCCTTTCTTTTCTTTTCTTTCCACTTTTTTTTTCGCCTGGAGCCCGTCAGGGGGGGGGGCACTCTGCCCCCCTGCCCCCCCCCATAGGTACGCCAGTGATGCAGCCCTATCCATATTAGCGAGCATGCTCGTTAAGTTTCATTATTTATTTTTTTCGATTAATGACCCGTACAGTAATGTGCAGCCTTAAAAATATTTATGAACGGGAGAGAAAGGGGAGATTGTCATCAAATTTTTAACGGCAACTCATTAACTACGATGTTATTGATTGTAATCGATGTCCCCCTCATCCCCCGTCATGCCCGATGATTTCCATCAACAAATTTGCTCTGTTGCCTGCAACATTTACCAGTGTTTACCAATTCACATTTACCACTTCTCATGAAATGAGAATATAATTTATCCCTGAAAGATAACGTTTATATCTTCTTAGATCAATCGAAAGAGCCATTCGAGATTGATCAATGAAGTTCAGAGAAGATATAAAAATGAGAATGTAATTTATCCATGGAAGATAACGTTTTTATCTTCTTAGATCAATCGAAAGAGCCATTAGAGACTGATCAATGAAGTTCAGAGAAGATTATCTATCAAGAATAAACCATATTATCATTAGAGGTATAAGACAAAATTACTTTATGCAAGGCAACAGTGTTTTGGGGGGAATACTTGTGTGTCACCTGCCTTCCCCGAAAAAAGACTATGGCTAGATCTTCTACTGCAAATCCATAAACCTATAACTACACCTGTATATCCTTCTATAATCGTATTTTAACCAAATATTTATTTATTTTCTGTTTATTTGTTTATTCATTCCCAATGTTCATGTGTGTGTGTATCTAGAGGTAATTTTCTCAGAACAATATTCATTTACGCATCATAACTAACATAAAGCTAGACTGAATTCAAAATCTAAACACATGAAATTTGTCACAGATTAGTATATACAAACCTTCACTGAGTAATATTAAAACCAGTGGTTAGGAAATTAACAAATGCATGAATACAAACTAACCAAGATGTCCTATACTGAATCACTGCCAAACAATTTTTTGTTCTCGATTATGGAAAAAATGTAATTCCAATTTATATCTCAGTGATGCAAAGCATGCTAATCATGTTAAAATTTTAATGGTATCAACTGACCAACTAATTAATCATCGGGAAACTGACCGAATTAACAAATACAACTCAGTTTTCTCTGTAAGGATTGAACTTTAAGGTCAGAGTTTCACCTTCTTTTCGCTTTTGAAAGTTGTCTTCATAACCTATTAACATCTCTTCGTTTTACGATGGCAAAGACTTTCAAGAAATCGACTCAAAGACTATTTCAGTACCCTATTTCATGTACTGCATGTTCCATCAATAAAAATTGTTTCCGGTTAATAATAATAATAATAATAAACTAATATTTCTAAAGCGCTTAATAACAAAAAAAGTTCCGTAAGCGCTACTACAATTTCAACTACAACTTAACATACTACAAATGCATAACCCAAACTTGATGTCGGTGTTTAATGCTCGCACGTTTCAAAAGGTGACGTACAAGGCCACTGGACCTAATTGGTTGATTTTTCGAAAGTAATTGCGATCGAGTTTTTCTCAGGCCCAGCAAAAAAAGATAATAATATATTCATGATTTTTAGCAATTTCAATATTATTTAGTACATAATATCTACACTTAACTGAAGAACTAGGTATAATTTTGTTCTTAATCGGCAATTTGTCAGGGGGCACACTGCCCCCTTGCCCTTGTAGTGACGTGTCTTGGATATGAAAAAGGTAGACTACCGTTTTCTAACATATGATTTTGGCTTCATACTTATACTATAGTGCCTTGGCACTTTTTGAAGGACTCCTTAACGTCTTTTCGGAAACGATTGTTGAAGAAAAAATAAACGAAGAAATTGACGATATGGTTAGTAACTCTGATTTTGAACAATATTGCAAGAATTCGCGACGTGTGAATATTTGTGTGCATCATAGAATGGGGAGTAACTGGAATGATCATCTTAGGAATCCACGTGACGAAGAAGAATATAGTTATGACAAGGAGCATGCGTGTCGTGTTTCTTCCGAAGTCATGGTTCTTTTGGTTCTTTATTTTTGGACGATTCGCAACACGGACATGTTGATGAGAGGGTGTTGCTATGGACGATGAGGCTCGAAAAATGTCTGATTTTAGATGTCTTGGATGTAAAGGAAGGGGTTTCTCGGGCTCTGATGGTGTAAGATACGGACCAGCAACACCACTTTCTTGAGTATGCGAAGCGTTGTTGGAACATCCTACAATCTCTAAAGGCGATGAATGTTGATTTGTTTCGGGCTGGTCTATTCTCGAGTTCGACTCGAGCGAACTGTTCTTTGAACTGATGGCAGCTAGAGGGAGATCATTGTTTACCAGTTCGGCGTGAATCTTTGCTCTTTTTCGGAGGAAAGCGTAGATGAGAGCGTAGAAGAGAGTGGTCGTTGTAAATGAGACGAAGAACAAGGCTGCAAAGGTCATCTCAAATGCGAGATAACCCGTGGAGTTGGATGACGAAATTATACATAATCGTCTCCCATTGCAAATAACTGCATGTGGTTCCGTCAAGACGGCAATGCCCGAGCTGAAAGCGGTGGCGAAGAGCGTGCAGATTATCAGTAAGGAAATCGACATCCGCACCGTCATGCGACGTCGGAACGGATGACATACGACCACGTAGCGATCGATGCTGATTGCGGTGGTCAGTAAAAGAGTGGTGTGAGCTGTGAGCTCTCCCGTGACCGCTGTCATCTGACACAGACCATCGGTGACTAGATCAGGAAAACCACTTGCGAAGATAAATACAGGCGTGAATACACAAGCGATGAAATCGACTGATGCCTGGGCCATGATGAGGATATCCGTGCTCGTCTTCCGTTTCTTCCGTGCGTAAGCTTGGAGAATGATGGCATTGCCGGGTAGTCCTAAAAATAATGCCATGACGTATACGGTTAGATTGACAACTTTATTATTGCTAATATCAACGTCAATCGTCCCGAAATCGTCAATTTCATCAGAATGACAAGAGTCATTACTAATCATCAATCGATGGAAATCGTACATCTTATCAATCAACTTGATGTTTGATTACCCGGCCTAACTTTAAAGCTCAACAGGTAATTGAGGTATCGCCGTCGAGTGGTTTAAATCCTTGACTGGAGATGCAAAAGTTCTGTTTGTTTGCTTTTAAAATCTGAATTGCTTCTCTCCACCCCTGGTACTAAAGTCGGTACCTGTCGGATGCAAAAATCAATGTGTTTTGTTCAGCATTGTTAGCGTCTGTAAAATTGTGCCTGGCTGAAATACTTTTCGATAATTAGAGAAGGTGCATACATTGTATGTGGGTAAGACATTTCGTGAAATCAACCAATCAGCTATCAACATCGGCTGGCCCAAAAAGATGTCATTTGATCATTACTCGCTTTTTACAATGAATCGCTAGAAGAATGATGAGGTAATGACATAAGAGGGGGGGTCGAGGGTGGAGCACATTACTTTATTGAAGTGAGCCGCTTGTTACGACTCTCTCAAGGTGAAATGACGGTAATGGGGAAAAAGCATATCCGTATATGAAAGCAAACATTCGAGAGGTAAATGGGTGCTGTTTGTTGCTATGGCAATATAAACCAGGAGAAATAAAGCCTCGTCATTCATTTTATGAACATTAATAAGGACGATTTGCACGTTGACATAGTCGAGTAGTACACGTGATTAAGTCGTTTTGAAGCTCTGCGCATGCGATACGTCGTCTCCCTCGTCCACTGCCTGAATCAAGAAAGCGAGAAGGAAATACTTTAAAAAATGATAGACATAGAATATGAAAACAGAACAACATAGATCTATACATATGAAAAGGTATAAAATGGAGGAAGAGAAAACGAGGTAAACATAAACTAACATAAAGATGGAAAGATATGAGGGGGAAAACGCCGAAGGAAAACCTAATGAAAAATGGAGAAAGGGGGAGAGAGAGAGAGAGAGAGAGAGAGAGGGGGGGGGGGGGGGGAGAGAGAGGGAGAGAGAGGGAGAGAGAGAGAGAGAGAGAGAGGGAGAGAGTGTGTGAGAGAAAGGATAAAAACAGAGGATAACGTTAAAAAGATAGAAAGAGAAGACTAGAATCGAAACAACCGTGGACCAACTATAACCGTCGACGCGTCGACCCATCCCATCCGGTCGACGTGAACGAGGTTCTCATCCACTCAGTCGAAAAGTCTACATTGTGGTGTAAACACTTGGAAACAAGGCAACTTAGAAATGGGAAGAGAGAAAGAGAGAGAGAGAGAGAGAGAAAGAGAGATAGAGAGAGAGAGAGAGAGTGTGTGTGAGAGAGAGAGAGAGAGAGAGAGAGAGAGAGAGAGGGGGGGGGGGGGGGGGGCGGGGGGCAGGGAGCCGCAGAGAATCTAGATACAAAATATAAATTAACTCATTTGTATACGGTCGTTTGGGATCAAATCCCAACAATAAAATCATAATTGAAACAAAATCTCTCTATAAATAAATTCATAAATAAATTCATAAATAAATGACAATTATATAAACTAACATGTTATCATTTTTGACGGGGTATGTGTCTGTGTTCACTATTACATTTCGTAAACAAGTCTCGCCTATTATAATTATAGCGAGTGAAAGATGCGCATTGTCGTAGACGTGACAGCCTTCAAGCACCTTCATGCTGGTTAGTGACCACAAGAGGAAAATAAACCTACATACCCGAAGGAAGAAAAGATTTGTTTTATTTGCAAAGCTGATTTGGCTATACAGCCATTCTTGCTTTTATTATGTACTTTACTATTTTGTATGAAATGTTTTTAAACGTGATTTGGAAGGGAAAACATACCATACATTACTTTTGATTTTGTAACATTTCTCTTGTGACTAAACTCCATGTAACAATATTGTATTCAGGCGCGTATGCCCCTTTGAGTATTTTTTATGTGTATGTTTTATGTATGTTTTTTGGAACCCCCCCCCCCCCTTGAAAAAATCTTGCGTACGCCACTGATTGTATTATACAATTTTTATACACCGAAATGAATAATCATAACAACTGGGTCAACACAGAAGGGAAATAAATGATAGTTACTATGGATAAATTATATACAACAAAACATTCACAGACTAGTATACATGACAAGCTATCTTTAGTAAAGTTCAGTTTCACTCCTTACATATTAAAGAGTTTGTAATGTAAATTCAAAATGTGAAAGAAAATGCAAAATAAGTACACTCACCTTTTTAATATGAAATGATTTTGTTGCTGTTAGCCTTCGCTTACGTTTGAGATCATCCATCAAGACGTTATGACCTCAATACCAAGAAGATACGAAAATACTATCACAAAATAAAAGAGAAGGGAAACCCGCTCGTGTGTTCACTGTACAGTGTGAGTCAGAAAAAGTTTACACCTATAGAAAATTGCTAATTATTTTAAATATCATCTATGAACAATAAATTATTATACATCTTATAAAAGAGTGTTTTATCCCAAATCATTTGGTATCATATTTTGTGTGGTATGTGTTTACGCTTGGATGAACAGGAGGCATTGTTTGAGAGAGTGCAAAAATCGACTTGCGCCAAAGTGATGCCTACGTGACAGCATGTATTATGTTGGGATTAGCGGAGTGAGAGAGTGAATTGAACGTATCAAATGAAATGGATTGCATATGCTTTTTGTAGAAGCAAAGTCACACACGCACACACACGCGTGCACAAATGTTCGTTAATATTTGATATTTGATATTTGATATGTGTGGCATGACTAATTTTCTTAGGGATGTTATTTGGATCTGCAAAACCGATTTAATACCCAAACCCCAATTGTTTTATTTAAAAATCAGATAAGCAACTTTGGCGCAAGTCGATAGTTAAATACATCACACATCATGCCTAAAGATTAGATCTCAATCTTCCAAAGTTCAGAAACAACTTTTATTTCTTCTTTTTAACCGAGTTATAATCTCAGTTTTCACTGATATTTTCCCCTTTCTGCTTTCCCCCAAGTCAGTTTTACACAAGGGATTAATTGATTCATCTTTAAATTAAAGAGCGATCAACTGAAACATATCTCGAACCACGGTCGATGGAATTGAGGAAGAAAGGGCAGGGCGAGTGGTCACGCAGTAAAATTAAATTGGGACATGGGAATTCTGCACTTCACCCCCTCCCCTTCTTTAAAAAAAAAGTGGGGACAAGTAAAGAAACTGGGGTCAAGAAAAAGAAAAAAAAGAGAAACCGCACAAAAAAATAACTAAATAAATAAATAACTAACTAAATAAAATAGAATAACTAAATAAAAAACAATTAATGATTGGGGTCAAGAAAGAGAAAAACAATTGTAAAAGGAACAAAAATAATTTGTGTCTCTTTGGTATTTGAGATCGTTGTTATTTTTCAGTACTTTAAATCGGCAATTGAATTTTTGTACAACCAATAATCAAATCGCCAGTTTCTACCGTTTGGAATGGTTTAATGATCGCTTTTAATGTTCTTCAAACATATTTCAAATATTAATGTCATATTAATTTGTGTCATAAAAAAATATGAATAGAATACCACAAATATTTAATGAATACAAATAAAAAAGCATGATCTAATATTCAAATTTCATTTACTATTTTTAAAGTAGTTTTGTAATGAGCCTGAATTTTGTAGCGGTCAAAATTGATTTCCAAAGTGTCGAAAAAATATTATATTCCTGGAGATTTTAAACTTCATAATTCTAAGTGACCATGGAAATGATTTCAACCAATTGATAAAGGTATATTGAATGTAAATTCCTTAAATAATATATTCATGTTTTCATTATACGACCTTATGAAATATAATTTTTGTTGACAAATACTTCAGTTCGGTCCCATTCGTTAAAGTTCGTGTAATGAAATCGTTTTATCGACTTTTACACCACAGTAGTCGGTATGACTATGAGTAGACCCTAGAGTAGACTCTAGAAATCTACATACAATGTTGGCAATTCTGTACTGCTAAATTCTAACCTAAGGCTTAGTGAAAGTGATTTAGTTATGTATAGATCTAGATCTACTATTGTCTAACAGTAATAGATTCTATAACAAATTACAGTCTACAGAGCTCTGCCGCCATTAACTCCAGTCATATGCCACCATCTATGATGGCGTCGGAGCCTGCATAGCCATAGCATAGCCATAGGAAAACGATTCAAACAGCGATTTGGTGCACATTTTTGGAAATGTAAAGAAGTAGTAATTACAATTTTGACTAACAATGCTCTTGACTCCTCTGGGCACCCGTTCAACCACTTGAAAATTGAAATTATAATTTGAAGAAGTCTTCAATGGGAAAAGATGATTCTTCATACGAAGTCAATTCATCCCATGATGTACTTGTACTAGATGTAGTTGTAGTCTAACTAATTGTATATCAGCGATTCAACATGGCGAAGAGAAAGCATGCATGCGCAATATGTGCTTCGCCGCTACTGCGCATGCGACATCAGTTCATGACTTGCCGTTCAAGGGCCTCCCCCATTTCATGTTTACTAAAACATTATGATCATGCATGGACTCTAAATGTTTTTGAACAACACTTTTATGAATTAAATAGATCTGATCCTTTGTCAACAAGCACGAAAATAGAATTTTGTGACAATTTTACTACAAAGCAAATTGGAGAATGGGAGAGATGCTTGAAAGGTGTGTCATTGAGTTAACAATTTGTGTATGATCGCGTGTACAGCTTGATAACTTACACTTTTCATTTGACATGAATAATTATAGAATGAGCTTTTGTTGTACAAAAACATTTGATTTTGAAGTTTTGTTGCTAGCGACTAGTCTTATAGTCAATTTGTAATCATTTTTTAAAAATTTGTTTATAGAATAGATTAAATATTAAATAGCCACAACAGAGTTGGTAAATAAATCTTAATTGTCATGTTTATTGATACCAGCTAACACATACATGCCAACTGTTCAGATTAAAGAGGAACATTCCTCTTTTTGGGAGAAGATAATTATCATTTTAATGCAGGTGTTCCTCTTCCTGTACAAATTTGTCTGTAGTATTGAATAGGAATATTGAATAGGATTGTTCCTCTTTTTTCGAAAATAGCATAATTTGTACAGATTTCTGATTTTCAAATGTTGGCATGTATGCTATCATCTAATATATATATATATATATATATATATACAAAATACAGGACAATGGATTTGTTTTAGAGATGTGTTTCTTTTATCTCGTGTTCACATACCTGTAGGAAAAGTCACTAGTATGGTCATGTCCATTTAGGAAGGAACTACTATTGCAATGGCCTCTAATGAGCATGGTTCATCCGCATGGGGTCAGCCTGTCTCATCGATGGAAAGTCCAAACACTATCAGTGCCAATACTTCCAACAGTTCCTCTGCCAGTGAGGTCCTGAGACGGTCAAGTGCGCTTCAAGGGTCACAATCTGAACAACATGGCGGAAAACACAACTCCTCGGATGCCTCCTTGGCCAACTCCAGCATATCAAGTTCTGGTTCCATGAGAGTTCGCATCAAAGCCAAGTATTTGAGAGAGAGGAAGTCTCCTTTTGAGACAGGTAGGATGTTTTCTCTTCTTTGATTCTGCATGGCATGGATTTAGGTTAGGTTCTCTAGGCCTGATAAAAACCCGATTTAAATCGGTTTCCGGATTTTTTGTTATTTTCCCCGATTTTTTCCCGATTTTTTTTTTCTTCCCGATTAAAAAAAAAAAAAAAAAAAAAAAAAAATCCAGATTTTTTAATTTTTTTAATTTTTTATTTTTTTTACCAATTTTTTTTTTCTTCCCTATTTTATCCTGATTTTCCAGATTTCCCTCTTATTTTCCTATTTTGCCCTTTTTTCTCCCCAATTTTGTCCCAATTGTCTTACTCGAAATGGGGGGAATGTTGTTAGATGCCATATTTTCCCCGCGAATCCTCTTATTTTTTTTACTCAAGGGGGGCGTGACTGAGAGGAAAACAAAAAAACCTATTTTTTTTTAGTGCTCACTATCACCCCTGGTTCTCGCTCATCAATGTAAGGTCAGGAAACAGATAATATTTTGCATAAGCAGAACTTATAGATAAAATTTCAAAAAATTATACTAAGAACTGGACATAGCTTGCTGTTGAGCTCTCAAAATTAAGACTGTATAGTTTCTTTATTCATCAAATTAAGGTGGTAGAAAATCTTACTCTTAACTTTAGAGTAGAGACATACATTAACCCCCCCCCCCCAAAAAAAAAAAAAAAAAAAAAAAAAATGTGGTTAAACCTCTTGAATGCAGTTTCATTTTGGTATGTCACACATTTTCCATGGACCCTAGGCCACAATGTCTTTCAACTTTGGCACCATCATAAATGTATTAAAGGAAGCTTAAAAAAACATTCCATTTAAATGAACTAGGTGGCTCATCCAGCACCCCATACCTGCCGCCAGCCCTGCCAGGGAACTTGCCAGAAGGGTATGAAGCCCAGAGGGATGTTGCTGATGTACAGAGGCATAACACCATTGAGGATGTAACATCAGCCAAGGATGGTGGTGCAACAGCAGGCCAAGTCTTGAGCCCTGCAGAGGGTTACAAACAAAGTGGATTTGAACAGCTTTCAAATGCCGCTTCTAAAAATGGTGTGGGTGATGAATTTTCAGAAATCACAAGGCCTTCCGGTAAATCAATTCTTCATTGTATTTTATGATTCATTTCTTCGAAAAAAAATAATTGCATATTGAATTTATTCACTTTCCCTCACAACTCCTGCCCAGGCATTTATGAATCTAGAGAATATAGTTACCTCAATACTTTTTTGCCATACATGTTTATTTTAAATTACTTACCAATAAATTTGAAATTTATTCTTTATGTAATCCTAAATTGACATTTTCCTGTGTTAATCTGAATTGTTTCAATTTGTATTTAAAAAAATCCATTATGCAATTGTAAATTAACTATTTTTTTTACTGTGTACATTACACATTTACAAGGCAGACATTATGGAGGAAAAGGGGGCAGGGTGGATGTGTTTTGAAATAAACTGGGAACCTCCTGCATGTTTGTTTTTCATATGTTATTTATTTTATTTTTTATAACTAAAAACACATAAATTTAATTTGACTTGTACATCCAGATGATCATAATCAGTCTGCAAACCAAAGGAGCTCTTCCATACCCCCAGTGACACACCAACCCATGAGTTCATCAACTAACATGGGCATTACCCATAAAAAGGTAAGATTTCCACTTGACTATTTACTCTTAATGCGTTTTAGTCATATAACATCTTTCAATTTACCTGCATAGCCATTGTTTTCAATAAATAAAAAACAAGTATTCTTGCTCCACACTACATGTAGTACCTAAGAAGAAACATAGTTATTGCTACAACATTAGATGTAGTTAAATAACACAACAGTCTCAAAATATTGTTAATGTTTCTTTACTGTTTATTTGTCTAAATAGACAAACAAAATCATTACAAGATCAAGGAGGATTCATCTCATTTCGACTTTAATATAGACTTGAATAATAATAAATGTTTATTTCTCTTACATTTGGCATGGTTTTGCAGTGATTTCAATTAATCTGCTTTTTATTGTAGACATCTGGTATCCTGAGACAAGGTGCTCCCACCAGTAGCAGTGCTCCATGTCATAGTTCAACCAGTGGTCACCCAAGGGATCTCAGAGTAACTCATTTCAGCAAAGGTCAACGCCAGCAGGCCATGAGAGATCAGCTCTTGAAAAGGTAACAATAATTTATTCATGATTTTAAAAGAGATTTACAAAAGCTTGTTATTTCTGTGATGTTTGGTAACGTTAAAGGCTGTCTGTGCTAGTTTGGTCACTGACAGGTAGTTATCTCATCAACTCAGCTCTCAATTAACATAAGAAAAAGACGATCATGGGGGACCACTGGTCACCGATTAGGCATTGTTTTCTATATAGAGGGAGCAAGTAGCTACAAGTAATACAGTGGGGCTTTAAAGGTACTATGTCCCATTTGCAGGCCAAAACAATGTAAATTCCAACAGCATTTGAAAGATAATACTAATTTAGAAATTCCCTTAAAAAAAAAGGGGGGGGGAGGGCTTGAGAATGGCTTTAAATGGGAAAATAATGACTATTAGTTGTTGAATCAACTTAAGAGCTATAGAGCAAGTAAGTAATAGGCTGATTTTCAGACCATTGTACGGAATGGTCGTACGTTTTATGCTGCGCAAACCTTCATTCACTTTAATTTTGGCCATTAAAAGGAGTGGGTTATTGATGTAGACAAATGCTCATGTACCCTTTACAACTCATTTCATGTATGTTATTACCAAAGAAGAAAAAAGCCAGTCAGTCACTCAATAGTGTCTGACAGTGAAGTCTAGCAATTAAACAGGTTTCCTTGCATAATTTGAATATTAGGACACTGCTAACGTTTAAATTTCACAGATAAGACCTACATGACATATTCATAATTCCTGCAAAGCTCTACAGAATTTGATGTTGGCTGCAAAAGGGACATCGCATCTTTAAAGGATTTATTTATGAAACATCAAATTCATTAGTTCAGTTTTTACACACTGGCATGTAATTTTGTAATTTTTAATATTCAATGTTTTATTGTTCATAAAATATGGCAATTCTTCTTGTTGACATGCAATGTAGTTGTACATAATTATTCAGAGATCATGCAGGCATGTACCTATAATAAGAGAGAGCCCAAGTCACATTAGTATGACAAACAGGTTATTATCAAAATTTAATCTTACTTTCTCGTCTATTTTCCATATGCACCCCATTATTTCTGAATAGATGTTTCATTTGTTTTATAAAGTCATATTATTCAAACTTTGATTTCACTATGCATACTTTCTCCTACAGATCTGAAAACTCAAAGCCCACAAAGCGTTATTATCAGCCCAAAATGATAGCGAGTGGTAGACCACCAGCATCGAAACCAGAAGAGACCAGGACAGCTCAATCTGATATGGGTACCATGGCAACGGCTACAGCTGCAGCTGCTGCTGCTGTGGCTGCTACAGTGCCTCTCCTCAAGGTGAGATAGAATCAAACCCAGCGTTGAATTGATGAAAAACTAAATACTCTCAGAGATATTAAAAGGGGGTGGGAAATAGCTTTGCCATACCCATTTTTAGCTCATCCGACCCGAAGGGCCCGATGAGCTTATGCCATGGCATGGCGTCCGTCCTTCCGTCCATCCACAGTTTTCAAAATGCTTCTTCTTCGTTATTTTTCAACTGATTTTGATTCTAATTGTTTCATATGATAGGGCTAGGAGGGGGATTTAAAACTTCTACACAGAATCATGAAATTCATCATCTATGCTAATTTATGCAAATTTATTTGAAATCACAAAAAATGCTTCTTCTCCTTCATTTCTCGACCGAATTTGATTTGGTTTGCTTTATCTGGTAGAGCTAACTTTGGTACACTAAACTTCTCCACAGAATTGTGAAATTGTTCTCCATTAATTAAATATGGTAATTTATGCAAATTTATTCCAAAAATAACAAAAATTGCTTCTTCTCCCTCATTTCTTGACCGATTTTGATTTGGTTTGCCTTATCTGGTAGAGCTAAATTTGGAACACTATAATTCTACACAGAATTTTGAGATTTTGCCCCATTGATTATTTATGGTACTTTATGCAAATTTATTCCAAAAATAAAAAAAAATCACAAAAAATGCTTCTTCTCAAAAGTGAACCACATAAAATTTACGATATTTGTTGTTGCGAGATGCGGATGAGCGCTTCATCATTGACGTTCTGGTTAATTCTGTGAATCATTTTAGAAAATTGTCAAATTATGGTTTGATTAAATTATTGCAGTCAATCCACTACAATAGAGATGCTAGTTTGTAGACAAATAATTATATCCTGATTTTCCTGCTTTTGTTATTTATAGAATGGTTCCTCCAATTGAGATTCAGACTTTATTAACAGTTTTAAGATGAAAGCCATTTCATCTGGAAACCCTTAGGATCGCAATGTGCTAGACATGAAAGAAAGAAAAATTGAGGTATATTCTTAAATCAGCAAATATGCTGTGAAGATTTCATAACAAATTTCATAACAAATTTCATAACAAATTATCAAACACCTCTTGTTAGAGGAATTGTAGGTTATCATGGTACAAGCCAAGAGTGATAAGTTTTAATGGTAGCACTTCAGATGGCACAATGAAGTAAATAAATCATATTGTCTCCTGTTTGTCTTTATTCTCTTATCTAGACCCAGAGTGATTTGGAGTCTAAGATGAACCACATCATGGAGAAACTGTCAGTCCTAGAGCATGTGGGCCATAGTGCTCCTCCCCCACCCCCCTGGGTATATCCTATGGGTCAGGGGTGGGGCGGTGGAGGCTATGATGCCCGTCATGACTTGGGCGAGATGACACAGCGCAGGTTGGGTGAGCTTGAAGAATTGCAGAAACAACAAAGAGAAATGCAGGTATGACGAGGCTCAAGAAAAGATCTATACAAGATGTAGTGTTGATTTCTTTAATAGTCTTTTTCATAAGCGTTCCATGCAGTGTAAACCTTCAATTGGATGCTCCATTTTATAAGAAAAAATCTGGAAAAAGATTTGAGATACAACTTTTAAGAATTCATGACGCTTATTGAGATCAATACACATCTATTTTAAAACTGGTGAAAATCAGTTTTATTGATAATTAATGTATAGGAAGAAATTACCAGGAACTTTGTGATGTGATTGTTGACTCAATGCATCTCTTCAAAATATATTATTGTGAATTTAAAACTATTCTTGAGCATGATAATTAGCTAAACTCATTTCCTTTATCCCCTTTTTCTTTTTCAGTCGGAATTGAGAGCCTTGTCCCAAAGAAATGCAGACAGAGGCATAGAGGTAGCCAATGGAATGCCCCCTCATCAAGGCACTCATACCTTCTCAGACCATCTATCATCACCTGGGGACAGTCAGACCAGGCCAAAGGAGCCAAAACAAGAAATAGAGGTCGTCCAGAAGAAAGAGGATGGAAAAACTCGAGTTGGACAGTCAGGCACAGATCCAAAGACCTCATCACGATCACCAACAACAAAGATTCCCCTTGCCAAGATGGACAGCTCTCCGAAGCCTCCTGAGAAACATGTAAGGTACACCCCGGCAGTGACCGTTCATCGTCTCCCTCAGGGTCAAGTGTCCAGTGGTGGTCAGCAGAGGTCAGTTCATCAAGGGGGTGTAAGGGAACATCATGGTACCCAGACCTCACCCCTTGAAACCCCTGCACCAAGGAGACATGCACCCAGACCTCACTCCAAAGAGATCAGGTCCGCTAGATTATCAAACCTAGGTAAGCTTGGTCAGGATAAATTTTCTTATTACTGTAACATCACATTCAAACCAAAACAAAAAGCAAGAAGAGACCTACTAAAGGGTTACCTGAACGGTTTATAAAATTTGTTAAGAAAAGAGATAAGTGGTACTTCGAGCTATGTGCAAGAAATCATCGTAAATCCAAGTTTACCAACATCCCACTGAAAATCAAGTTATTAAAATTGACACGTTTCCATGGGTATCCTACAATTTTTCTTGCAATGTGCCCCTGAATTCTCAATCTATCATAATTACTGCAAATTTTTGTGCATTGTTGTTTCATATTTGTAGCATAATCTCACTGTGCTTAAATCACGCAAGGCACAGGGTTGAAGCTTGCATTTTGGTAAACTTTCTCAGAAGTTCTTGAGATTTCTGATACATGTGTGGCATTCCAGGATAGCAAGTGAGCCCTCTCCTGTCACACTATGCAGCAGTTTCTGAGCCAAACATTTATTGATTTGGGGGCAGTCCCTATAGGGTATATAATTCTAATTGTCAAGCAGTTAAGAAAGATGAATCGTTGCTTTCCAGGAGTTCTGAAGATAGTAATGAAGAAGCGATGGAGATGAAATAAAGATCACAGTTATTGTCAATGAATCTCACATTATTTGTAGACTTTCTTTTATTAGAAATACTTTCATAGACAATTCTGAGAATAGATGTTCATATAGGTTCCAAACTAAAGAATGTTATCAGTAGGTTTTAAGTGTAGAAAATCTGTAAATTGCACCACTATGGAATGTTATATCTATCTGTCTTTCTTTTACTCTATTGAGTACTCTTTCTTGAGATGTCTCCCCTACATACTGTGCTCCACCTTCTTATCCTTTCTGGCTGACTTTTTGTTTGTGATGACTGATTTCATTTTGTTATTTTTTCTTATTTCTTATCATCTATATTTGTTTCCTTTCCTCACTACCAAAAGGCTTCTTGGAAACATTGGATGTGTGACTACACAGCTTATTGTAGAAATATGATATACGGGGAACATTCAATATAACGCTTTTATAAAGGATGAATTATTAATGAACATGTATAAAAAGTAATCTACAAGAGCAATATTTTGTTTATATTGCATAATCAGGGAGGGGGCTACTGGAGGAAATCCTTTCAAGTCATGATGAGGATGAGAGGACCAGAGATCTCAGGCAGCAAGTCCAGACCAATCATCTTTCAGCTCTCAATGTCAACTCATCAAATTCAAGGTATGTCAGTATGTGTATGTATGGTGAATGGTGTATGCAAAGGCTATGCACTAACTTATTCCAGGGGATCCATGTGAAACAGAACCCAGATAAATCAGGCCTGGTAAAAACCCGATTTTAATCGGTTTCCCGATTTGTTTGTTGATTTTTTTTATTTCTGAAATTTTTTTTTTACCAGATTTTTTTTCTTCTTCCCTCTTTTATCTTGATTTTACCGATTTGCCCATTATTTTCTCTAATCTTTCCTATTTTGCCCTATTTTTTTCCCAATTTTCTTACTCGAAAGGGGGGAATGTTGTTAGATGCCATTTTTTCCCCGCGAATCCTCTTCTCTTTTTTTACTCAAGGGGGGCGTGGTTGAGGGGAAAACAAAAAAACCTATTTTTTTATTAGTGCTCACTATCACCCCTGTAAATATGATTTGGCAATATGGGAGTCCAGAGTGATTTGTTGGGGCGCCTGTGTACCAGACTCCGGTTAGAGCAGAGCCCTGGGGTGGGGGGGGGGGGGGGGGGCGTTTCAAAAAGCCTTTTTTCAATGATAAATGACAAGAATCAGTCACAAATCTGCTGATAACCAATCAAAAGCAAGGATTTCAGTAGCTTTATAACAAAAAATGTCATTTGTCACTGTTGACAAGTTTTGTGAAGCGCCGCCCTGGTGTGTGGTTATTGTGCCTCAGTGATTGTGAAATGTTGCCTTTGTAAGAAGCTCCTGTACCTATTTCAGACTTCACAAACAGCTATTTTGGTAACACCTTGTGGTAGACTTACTGAAAAGGCAGTTGATATTTAATCTTTCGTCAAAATAAAAAAAGAACCTGGCTATGTGGCATTTAGAGGGATTACTTGGTAAGGAAAAAGTAATGGAAAGAGAGGAAAGCTTCTAATTGTGAATACTTACTCAGCATGGAAACCTACAGAGTTCATCTATTTCTGACTTGTTTTCATGTAGGATCAGGTCTAGAACTCGATCTTCTACTGGTTTGATTTGGATGTACCACTTTTCCCAAAAACTTTCCAATTGTAATGGATGCCTAACTTTGGATGAACTGATCTGGGTTCTAGTGACACTAACATCCGTTGGCAATGCATTGATCTTTGTATTTTGTCACTTTTTATATGAGGACCTGATAGAATGTATGAAGCCAATGTAGTTGCTTACATGTTGTTTGACATAACCCTCTTGGCATCTTTTTCATTGGTTGAAATTTATTTGGGCATTTCATGGTCATGTGATTGTTTGCTAAGAATAATGTTCTGTGGTCATATTGTACAGAGTAGCTGTGGTAGTGTGTTTGACAGTTATCAAATAGGGATACCCATACATTACTAAATCTGATTGTACTGTAAATGCAAGATGGATATGTAGAATGGGTTTTTAAACCTGTTTATCTGATTATATTTTGGGTGGACTAAGTTAGCCATTTTAATGATTTCATAAGAAAGACAATGCATTGGTAAGGAATCCATCTTTTCTGCCTTCAAATTAACAAACAAAAATTAAGAAACAAAGAAAATAAACCCTCTTGTTTCTCCTTAACACATCATGAGATTTTAAATTTATAAATATACTTTGATAAGGTCTCATCTTCCAATCAGTTTCCATCCCCAAAACATCCCCCCTCTCTCTTTTTTGGGGGTATTTTCTCTCCTATATCTCTTCTATTTCCCCCCTCTCTCTCTGCATCCCTCCATTCCTGTCAACCGTTTTTCTTTGCCCACTTTTTCCGTCTTCTGTCTCTCTACATTCTTTCCCCTCTTCTCCTTTCCCCATCTCTCTCTCTCTCTCTCTCTCTCTCTTCTTTTCTGCACATTTTCCTCTTTCTCATTCCGTTTGATGCTTGCAGCGTCCACCTAGATTCCTCTCTTTCAACCATTCCTTCGTGTTCTCTCTTTGTCTCTGTCCTTCTCCCTCTTGCTGCTCCATTCCAATGAAATTCAACAGTGGGATTACCCCCTCCCCCCCCCCCCCCAGCATTAAATGTGTTTATAGACACAGCGTTTTATGGAAATGAGAGGTTAGGGATTTCCTTCTTCTCTAAGCAAGCAGAAAACTGTTTCCAACTCAAACAGTGACTAGAGAGAGAGAGACAGGTGGCAAACCCAAGAACCTGGGAAACCCTGATGAATTATGGATAGAGCTCCCTGAAGATGGGGTGACAATCTCTGGGATAGGATTAGGGACTTGGTTAAACTTAATGCAGCGTTCTCTCCCATGAATTAATGGGAGATTCTATTTGGGACACTTGTGTAACTCGAGCCTGGCCAGCGTTGTTTGCTTACTTAGATTTCCAGAATCTATGAATTTGCCTCTTGTCACATGCTTAGAAAAGTGGACAAGGGATGCAAAGGATAGAGAGAGTGAGTGTTAGAGAGAGAGAGAGAAAGAGAAAAAGAGAGGGGGAGGAACAAGGGAGAGAGAAAGAGAGAAGAGAGAATGAAAGAGGGAGAGCAGGAGAAAAGGAAAGGAGATTAGAGAGAGAGAGAGAGAGAGAGAGAGAAAGATTTTGACTATTTTTGGTTGATTTGAATTGAAGGTGCTTAATACATACTCCTGAAGACTGTAGGTACTTTAGCTAGGAGGTGGTCTATTCTAGTCGAGGGATAAACTCATGTCACCTTTATAATAGCAATGTACATGTAGAAGGGACAGTGTCGTCAGTGTGTTGTCATTATCATTTGACATGCCTTCAGTTTAAGGAATTTGATATTCTTTGTCAGATAATCATTCTATTCATATATATATTTTTTCCTTAATACTATATAGCAATTTCCACTTTCATTTGATTTAATGTGAATATTCTCTTTGAGGTTTTCTCAGGTAAAAAAAGGAGAGATATTCCGATCTAGTAGATCCCTGGCAATTATCATTTTTGTAAAGAGAAACATCCATCTTTTTCTTTACCTGACTTAAGACTTTATATGTACAAAGTTATTGTATTTTAGTAGTCAACAAATAGAAAATATTGGTATCCTACTCATTTACTCCTTATAACATGAATTTAATATTGATATAAATGATCTCTCTAGAGTTTGTGGAGCAGATGGATAGTCTGTTATTCAGAGCCCAATAGATTAAACGTAAGTATGTTACCAAACCCATCTGTCTTATCAAGTCATTTCCTTAAGAGGCAGGTTGAATTTCTTGTGATTGTAATCTCTCAGCCCAAGTTAGCAACCATTAAGGTATACTAAAAGTTCTTCTAATCACGGAGCCCAGTTGCCAACACTTCTATCCGGGTAACAGTTTGACCATTGGTAGAGGAAGAGTATTCATTCCAGCGCTTTGTATATTATGATATTTGTTATTGAATATATTTCAGCATTTTAGCACGTCAAGCTCCCCCAAATCAGGTTACGGACTTTAATAAACAGCTAATGTTTCAGAAACAGGCTTTCCTTTCCCCGCAAATCGAAAGGCAATGTCCTCCAATAGCATTCTGCATGTCTGCGCCAGGAAAAATGTATATATTGAATGTGACAGATAGAATACCATTTCTGATATCGATCCATTTCCAGCGTCTTTTTTTTCCCACCCGACTTGGTGGATATCTTGATTTCGTGATCGTCGTCAATCTCGAGTCACATCGCCTAGGGTATGAAACCGAAACCTGTACATTAATGCCGAGTAGTGAGTGAAAGCGGGCATTTTTCCTTCCTCTCAATCTCTCTCTCTCTCTCTCCCTCTCTTTGTTTCTCCAACATGTTTATTGGTTTGGTTATCAGAGTCAGTTTTTTCTTTAGGCAATTTGGTGTTGACGATTCTCATGGTACCTCAGAAAGGTTTTGTCCTGGCCTCTTCTTGTGTTGATATTGTGTTTCCAATTTATCTCTGGATGATTGATGCATGCTAAGCTGATTGATATGGATCTAGTTCTGAAGGCAAAACAAAAAATAGAGAAACAGAGATACAGAGTGCGAGGCATGTGGGATAATTTCTACCAACCTTTCATTTTCTCTGTGTGAAAATCATTCATGCTATTACTGTTAAGGTATACATGGAGAGTTACAGTATGTCAAGTATTTCATGAAGATAAAGTAGATTTGAAGAAAAAACAAACATAGAAGAATGAGTAATATTGGAATGTAACCCCACTGATTATTCTCCTGTTAAAGAGGTATTGTATTCATTCAGGTTGCTGATACATACAATCACAGGAACAACTAAAAACTGTGGCATATGATATCTTTACAAAATAGTGTTTCAAAGAAATTGTTGGATTATTATTCAGGTTTATCAAACAAAAAAAAGAAGAAAAAAAGATCCCTTGGCAGAAAGGGAGACGCCTACTGTATATTTATACATGTATGTATTTAGATCTTTTGTACCAATGTCATTTATTTTTTATTCATTGATTTTCTATCAATTGGTTTTGGTAAATAGGTACCCTATGATCTAAATACATGTGTACATGTATGTTGTAGTGAGAAAATTAAGGTCAAATGAAATAGGTCCCGGTTAGATGGTGCACTTTTTAAACACGATGACCACATTTCAGCAAGATATTTTCTTCATATTTTATGATTTAGTTCTATAGTTCTATTTAGTTATATTCAAGACTTTGAAATAAATTGAATACAAATGATGCACATCATGTATGTATTACTGTAAACAGACTAGGAATGGTGAATGTTGATATACATGTAGTTACTATTAGGAATCATAAAAAAGGCCACATAATTGGTTTTGATGATTTTTAAGGATTTCTTTTTTGCTTTTGATATATAATGCCTCTTTCACGAAAAAAATATAGGTTCTTGATATGGTTTCATTGTTTGTTTCCAGTATTGAATGAATCCAAGGAAACACCAACAAAAGTTGAAACAAAATTTTTAATCAAGTTAAAGATATACCAGTACTGTAGATATGAAGGGAAAATCAATGGTGTCATGATTGAATTGCATCGTTGATCGTTCAATCATACATGTTTATATCTGAGGTATCGTACTACATGTAGGTGACTGACAGAAGACTAGCGCATGGAATCACTACTGCTCATCATGTTATCTCATTGGCATGCCTGAGTGATGTGACGTGACGCACCTTGAAAGCCGACCAGCCAAGCAGAATTGATGGGGTATTTAGATCATGTGACACCATCAGATCATGTGACGGTCCCCAGTACGGAGG